GATCCATAGCTGATCTCTGCAGTGCCTGTGCAAGTTACTCAGTTGTATTAAAGAAGGTGGCATACTGCAACCACTCAGGGACAGTTAGGAGCAGACAAAATGCTAGCTTTATCAACTACAGCCACATCCAGTATTGAATTAAAAACCGGTCAAAGAACCAGATCCTGTAATTTCGTAATGCTGAGTCTTCCGGATGGCACACACTGCTGCCGTTGTTATCTATGATGGTGCTTGTACTCTACTTGTACTGCTAATTCTTGCGACAAATGCTTTGTGAGTTTGGAAGAAAAATTTTAACATTTTTTTAACCTCTATTCTTTGCATGGGCCCTATGGCTTGCTGTCCCTTGCTCACCAAGTCTTAGTACAATCCCTGAGTCCGTGGTGGGGGAAGCTTGCTTTACAAGGAAACCCACAGGTGACTCACAGGTATTTGTGTCTAGAGAGCCCAGTGTGTCATGTGCAGAGATAGGTTCACCATTCTCTTCAACATTCTCAGCTTAAAATCCCACAAGGCTGAGAGCGTCAGGCAGAGTGGAGGTGGAAGCCTGGCTATCTCTCCAGAGAGTTCTCAGAGGGGGCTTCTGGTGGGCCTCTACATGGTGCACCCTCTGTTTGAGTGCCGACTGGCGCTGCCCTTTCTCCCTGTGAGAAAGCAGCACCTGGAGTGATGTTAAGGTTCCTCACAAACAAAATCAGAGATTGTTGCAAAAGCTCAGCAGGTCTGGCTGCATCTCTGCTATCAGAATTAATGTTTCAGGTCCAATGACCCTTCTTCAGAACTCCCTTGTCACTCTGTTGCCTGGCCGTTAGTGTTGAGCAGTAAGGCCTGGAGCATTGGAATACAGCTGCATGGTCAATCCAACAAATACTGAGAGTACTGAACTCAATTCTATATGGAAGCCCCTGACCTGCCGAAGGAGGGGGTCAGACACTTGCATGATAGAGGTAATATGGTGCCAAGAGCATTGGTGCAGTCCTGCAAACGTTTGACAGCTTTCCCAGTGCCTTTGACAAACCTGCCTACTGCTTCTGTGTCTGCTCGTGCAGTTCTATCAAGTTCTTATTTGCCAGCATCAACAGGTAACCTCCTGCCTGTCTTTGGCAGTCCTCCAACTGCTAGGGATCCAGTAGTTCTTCCTCAACCAGCTGTGGAGACATCGCAGTGATTTGCCCTCCAGTGATGCTCCTGATTCAAATTTAGATGATGTACCCTCCAAGGTTTAAGTACCTGACCTGGTTTGAAGAGTGCAGTAGGCAGCCTTGGCAGTGACTGGAATCCATGGCTTCTTCCTCAGAGGTTGAGAAGGAGATGACTTACAGGGCCGCCCGTTTGACTGCGACGTTATGTAGATGCGATTGTTGTCTGAGGAGACAAAAGAAAGAATGTGTTGCGAATAAGGCATGTGAAGAGTACTTTCGCAGTGGCAATAATAATGAGAGTAGCACAGCAATGGATAATGTCTCTTACTTGGCTACTGTGACACAGATGGCCTTTCTCTAATCCAGGATCTGGGGCCAGCATCCTCTCCGCATAGGGGTCCAGGAGCTGAAAGACCCATCACCCATCTTGGCTCTCTCTTCCCCCACAATGGGCTGTTTTCATCTGGAATGATAGAAAGGAGAAATTGAGTATGATGAAACTGGCTGGCACAGTTGTTAGTTTTGGTGGAGATGGGGGAATATGATGAGGTGTCTCGAAAGAATGACTAGTCAACACAGGACAGACATTAGTTAATGTGAGAGTGAGTAGTCTGGAGGGTTGAGGTAGGTGAGAGTGTGTGAGGGAAGATGCTACATACAGTATTGAGAGTGGTAGATCACAACTCTTGATGGGAAATGTGTACAGTAGGAGAGACAGAGGTGAGGGTGAGATAGCAGAGAGAGGATGGTGACACTTACCCATGTAGAGCAGATTGCAGCATGCAGAATGCTTCTCTGGACTTTTGAGACAGCATTAACAAGTGCCAACTTCAGATGTGGCTGTTAGCATCTTATATTGTGCCCTCCTCTGCCCATTCTAGACAGGATGATGACCTTTCTCCACACCACCTCCACCAGGACCTCCAGGTCTCTGTCTGCAATCTAAGCTGCCAATGTTCCTTGTCTGCCATCTCAGAAATGAATAAAATGAACTGTGCAGAGAAGCTTGACTGCCGGCACTTGACCGAGTGCATAACTTCCTTTTAAATGAGGCACAGGTGCCAGGATCCCAGGATGCCCTGGCATTGGTGAGTACTTCCACCTACTGTGAGCAGGAGAATAGACTGTGCATGGCACCATGAGGCGGGCTTGGGAAGGTAGCATTAGAAAACCCACTAGGCCTTGCGGAGAGAAACCCTGCCTGAAACTTGCTGAAAATGGTACTGAGCTAACTTCTTGCAAGATTTTGCCCTTGTTTTTTTTTGAAATGTCTGATACTAGTGTTGGAGATAGGTGGAATATGTTTCAGAGGCTGAGAGGATGTGTTAAAGGGGAAAATTCCTCCAGTAGGCTTTGGTGACCCTCAAAGTAGTATTGTTCCTTGACAAAAAACAGAAATTGCTGGAAAAGCTGAGCCAGTCTAGCAGCATCTGTGGAGAGAAGTCAGAATTAATGTTTTGGGACCAGTGACCCTTCCTTAGAACTCAACCTGAAACGTTAACTCTGATTGCTGTCCACAGAAGCTGCAACACCTGCTCAGCTTTTCCAGCAATTTCTATTTTTGTCTCTGATTTACAGCACCCACAGTTCTTTTGGTTTTTATTTAATATTGTTCCTTTCTGCCCAATAGCAGCCTGAGCGGTAAAATCTTCCCGCCTTGCCTGCATCTTTCCCAGCCATGCATAAAATAGCAGTGGAGGCTTATTGAAAGCTTTACATCCGTAAGAGTTGAAAGGGGCAAAATGCATGATGTATAGGCTGGCAAAAACATGAATGGAAGAAGGATCAAAGTATTTTCACAGGATATAGAGGAAGAATACATGGTTAAAGGATGCATGAGGGGAGAGCATATGGAAAGGGGTCAAAGCAAATGCTTTACAAAGGGCAAGTTGTGGTGAGAAACCATAACAGAGGAAATGTAGATGAGGAAGACAGAAGAGAAAATAGATCAGGAGTGCAGGGTAAGGGGATAGACAAATGGATATTAATAGAATGGAAGGTAAAATGGATAGTGATTAATTGGAGAGTAAAAGGAGCAGAAATTTGAGGCAGTACTGTTTTGGAAAAGAGAAACTATGAATGGCACAGCCAATGAACACAGCACCAGTGGGCAAATGTGAACTGGGAGGAAATGTAGCAGTGTAAACTTGAAGAATGAATGAAGAATATCAGTTTAACTTGGACTGAAGAGGGAGCAGAGTGACAATATCAATTAGAAGGGTTGGAGATGAAAGTGTCTGGAATGTGGCATTCAAGGAGCTACAGCCCCTTGGAGGAGGTGCAGTCCAAATCCTGGATGTGAGAAAATAACAGTGAGGTAACTTTTTAAGTTACGAGTGATCTGAGTGGTCAGCAAAACATCAAAAATTAAATTAAATGACTGATTGATTGACAGATTTGTGTTTGTCACAATCCATTGCCCTAAGTAATTTGCTTATTTTAGTAAGGATCAAAAATATTAAATTATTTAATCTTCCCCATTGATTTACCTGTAGCAAACTGCATTTTGTTCCTGAATGGACAATATATGACTTCCATGCTTCATACAGTTTTATTATGCTATTATTCTGACATTAGTTTGCCATTTATATCAATTTTGAGGTGGTTGAAGCTGCCTCATAATGTGGCTCACAAGATGTTATTGATATGGATGTCTGTCCTCTATGTTGTAGAATATACACACCATTGATTTAAATCTCATTATTGATTAAGACAGTAGGTAGTACTTAAAATGAAGATACAGCTCAGGTTTTGCTACAATAGATCATAGAATCATAGAAGAGCTAGAACACTGAAGGAGGCCATTCAACCCATGATGTTCATGTTGACTCTGTAAGAGTTTCAGCTCATCTTACTCCTGAATCCGTGACCCATAACTCTGCAAAGCTTTTTTTCTTCAGGTATTTATTAATTGCCTTTTGAGAGCCTCAGTTACAACCCCGTGTCATGCTTTCTACATCTGAAGCATGTCATACATAAGAACAATTTTCCCTAAAGCATCAATAGTTCTTTTTCCAGTCACGTAAATTGATAGCCTCTGGTTCTTGATTCTTCCGCAAATGAGCAATTTCTTTCCTTTTGCTCTTCCTAGATTCTTTCATGCTCACACAAGATGATCTAATGGGCTCTAAATATAAACTTTTAAAGTAAATGAACAAAATGGACAATTTCCTGTAACATAAAGTTCAGGTTTTTTTGTATATTCATGGGATGTGGGTATCATTGGATGTGCCGGTATTTATTGATGATCCCCAAAATGTGGTCTTGATCTGCCTTCTTGAACTGCTGCAGTTCATTTGCTTTAGGTACATCCATATTGCCATTAAGGATAGATTACCAGAATTTTGACCTAATGACACTGAAAGAATGGTAATATATTTCCAAGCCAGGATGGTGAGTGGCTTTGAGGGGAGCTTGCAGGTGGTGGCGTTCCGGCCTATCAGTGACTTTGTGTCCTTCTGTAGGGAAGTGGTCACAGGTTTCGAAGATGCTATCTAAGGAACGTGGATGGTACACACTGCTGCTGCTGAGTGTAGCTGGTGATGGAGTGAATGTTTGTGGTGCCAGTCAAATGGGCTGCTTTGTGCTGGATGGTGCCATGTTTACTGAGTGTTGTTGGAGTTGCACTCATCCAGGCAAGTGTGGAATATTTCGTCCCACTCCTGACTTGTGATTTGCACATAATGGATGGGTTTAGGTGTGTCAGGAAATGAATTACTTGCTGCAGTATTCCTATTCTCAGAGCTCTTGTAACCATAATATTCATGTGGATGTTCCAAATCAATTTCTGCTCAGTGTTAACTCCCATGATGTTGGTAGTGAGAGATTCAGTGGTGGTAATGCCATTGAATCTGCTCTCCTTCGATAGCTCAGCTGGTAGAGCGGAGATCTGTAGTGTGTTGCAAATCTGTCATCCTTAGGTCGCTGGTTCCATTCCAGCTCGAAGGAGTCTCACCATCCTTTAGCGACAGCACAGTGGCTCAAAGGTTAGCATTGCTGCCTCACGGTGCCAGGGACCTGGGTTCAATTCCATCCTCAAGCAACTGTCTGTGTGGAGTTTGCACATTCTCCCCTGTCTGTGTGGGTCCCCTCCGGGTGCTTCGGTTTCCTGCCACAGTCCAAAGATATGCAAGTTAGGTGGATTGGCCATGCTAAAGCACCCCATCGTGTCCAGCAATGTGTAGTTTAGGTGCGTTAGCCATGGGAAATATAGGGTAGGGGGATGGATCTGGGTGGGATGCTCTTTGGTGGATTGATATAAACTTGTTGTGCCAAATGGCCTGTTTCCACACTGTAAGGACTCTATGAAATCAACAAAGACCTTCCTCACAAATTCCTATTGGCATGAGTTTTTCCATACTTGTTCAAATACAACCTTGATGTCAGTCACTGTCACCTCACCTCTGGAATTCTACTCTTTTATTTAAGTCTGGGATCATTCTGTCACGGGCTGAGGAGCAGAGTGGCCCTGGCAGAACCCAAACTGAATGTCTGTGAGCAAGTTATTGCAAAGCAAGTGCTACTTGTTAGCAATGTTGATTATACATTCCATCGCTTTGCTGATGATTGAGAGAAGATAGATGGGTCAATTTTTGTGTTTTGAATTCGTAAAACACATTTTAATGAAGCTTTGTTGTCATGTTATTTTTGCTGCTGCTTTTATTCTCAGCTGAGGATTATAAGGCAAGTGTTTTGGCTGCATTGTGAAGAAAATCGCAAAATTAACCCAACAATTAAGGTGTTAAATTTAAAATGGAATCCAAGTTGCATGAGAATTTGAAATTTTGTTAGAAGCAAGCACTCAGGTAGTATTACAGACAGAGGGAGTTGTGATATGGTCCAGTAATCCTTATGAACTTTGCACCTCTGAGGTTGCTTACTTGGAATTAGACCTCTTGAAACAAAGGGATGATATGATTCTCAAAACCCTTCTATAATTACAAGATTTCAACAAAGCAGCTTGTCTGTAACAGCTACAGAGACATTGGGCTCCTGAATCTTTTTTTATTTGGTAAGAATGAGTTGTGCTGATGTTTTTTGAGGGATTCTTGCCATATCTTACCTGAAAGACGCATGAGAGAGAAGGCATCGCTAGCAGTGGTTAGAAATGGTGTGCAATGATTGAGTCTGACAATGGAGTTACTGTGCAAGTTGCATTGGAATGAAGATTGGTATTTACACGAGAGGTGGGACATGGATATTTCTGCATCCCTGCAAGTCCCTGTGGTTGCCAGCAAACTCCACTGCCAAGCAGGCTTCCTCCACCCCAGCTGCAGAACCAGGGACTACACTAAGACGTAATGAGAGGGAGAGAAAGATTAAGACCTATTAGGGAATCTTTGGTGGCATGGATAACAAAGCTCTGGATATGAATTTCATGTTTTTATAAATTTCAGTCTTTTTTATGCCTTGACATCTGTTTGTTTCAGTCTCTGTGTAGTGTCAGGGCTAAATATGCCAGCATGATGCCTAACATCATGTACTTGTACATGTCCATGCCATACACACTGTGGCCCGCTGGGGCTAAGGTACTCTGAATGGAGGTTAAACCCACCTCCCACATGACCCCCTTTCCCAACTATGCTTCATGTATCCCGCTTACAAATACAGTTGATTGCTTCACAATTGTTATTCTCCCTTTTCTCCAGCTTGTATCTGCTAATCCTAAAGAATAGGTTCTCAAGTTTCCTCTACATTGCAGTGGATCCTCCCATTCCCTTTTCCCTTAATTCCTGTGGACAGACTGATTGGACTGACCGTGGTCCACCGGTATGAGTGATCAAACCAGACATTCATGGCTGTCCACAGCCCTGGCTGATGCCTGTACATCTCCTTGGCTGCATTAGCTCTACTTCTCCCAGACTGGTGGCTATAGAACCACAGTGCTGATCATGGCCCACTCTCACACTGCAGCAGAATGGATCCCCTGACCAAGAGCACTCAAACCAGATACCTGACTGTGGCCATTACCCTGAACTGGATTTGGAGGTTACCCTTGACTTGCTGTGTCTGGATCCCCTGGCTGACAGGTGCCTCAATGGATTTCAGTGAGGTCTACTCCCCCAAGACTATGAGATGTGGCTGCCTGCTTGCAGACCATGAAGTGTGTTTGTTATGTAAGCTGCTGACACATCGCGCAGTTGATGTAACACAGTGCTATATAGCAAGATATTCACCCCCTTAACTGAGAACCACTGCCAGCAAGGCAATCTACCTGGTTCTTTTACTGTAATAATTGGTACAGCAAAGCTAGGATGGTGCAAGCGAGCTGGTTGGTGCAAAATTAGAGTATACTATGAGAGAGACCTAGCTGCCCTGAGATGTGGCCTAGTCCAATCCATGAGTAATCCTGTCCCTGATTGCAAAGCGCCTTTGCAGCAGCCTTTCAATGCTGGTTACTGGTGCACCCTGCAACTCCTATTTGTGTTTCCTGAGCACCCTGCCAGTGTATCAGAGTGGTGCCATGATCATGGTGAGGAATTAGCAAATGTCGTATGCCAATGGTGCGTATGGTGGGTGCGTATGGATTGTGCTCCAAGATGCTATTTGGTGCTGAACAACATGGAGGCTGGTCACAGCCAGGGGTGAGCTGAAGTCACCTTGTTCCTACTCTGACATCCAGTTTGAGAATTTTTGATTTCTAATCAATTCTAATCCACAACAGACCACAACAAGAAGACACAACATGACAAGACACACCAGTCACCCTACCATACATCAGAGACATATCGGAAATGACCACAAGACTACTCAGACCCCTAGGTATCAGGGTAGCCCACAAACCAACAATCACCCTGCAACGGCTACTGACAAACGTAAAGGATCCCATACCCACAACCAATAAAACTAACGTAATATACAACGTAATATACCATGCAAGGACTGTACAACACATTACATAGGCCAAATGGGAAGAAAGGTGACAATAAGGACACACAAATATCAACTAGCCACCAAGAGACACGACCAATTCTCACTGGTCTCAATACACACAGACAAAGAAGGACATAAATTTAACTGGGACAACACATCCATAATAAGACAAGCCAAACAGAGACACGCCAGGGAATTTCTGGAGGCCTGGCATTCCAATCGGAACTCCATCAACAAACACATTGAACTAGACCCGATATACAAACCATTGAGAAACAGAAATGAAAGTGATGCCAACCACCCCAGCAAACTGAGGGATATAAATAACAAGGGGGACAGAACACCAACGCTTCACCGGAGGCGCACTGACGATGTTACCTAGCAGGGTGACAAAACATCTGCAATCAAACACACTGGCTCGGCAAACAAGTCAGAGCAAGTTGAGTAAGATAGGAATTAAATAAGATAGATATTGATGTGATAATTTGTAGCATTGGTATGGTGTTTAACAAGCGAGAATCTGTCTTCATCATCAACTTGCCACAGCCTAATGGAGAGCAAGGTGGCACAGTGGTTAGCATTGCTGCCTCACTGTGCCAGGGGCCTGGTTTTGATTCCAGCCTTGGGTGACTGTATGGAGAGTTCACATTCTCCCCGTGTCTGTATTGGTTCCCTCCGAGTGCTCCAGTTTCCTCCCATAGCCCAAAGATGTACAGGTTAGGTGGATTGGTCATGCTAAATGCGTGGTTATGGGGATAGGGTTTGGGTGGATGTGTCTGGGTGGGATATTCTTCAGGGATGGGTTGGTGCAGAATTGATGGGCCAAATGGCCTCTACCTGCATTGTAGGGATTCTAGGATTCTGTGAGAAGCTCACCTCACTGCTTAACATTCTTGTTGTTGAGAAAAGACTTGCAAGACTTCTCATCTGAATCTACTGCAATTCTTTTGAAAGGTCACCTCGTTTATTCCTCTAGAAGTTCTGTCCGAAAACAATTTCTGAAAAAGACAACTTGTGAGGAGACATAATCTTACAGGCACAGATCAGCCAGTTTGTTGGACACAAGGAAGAGCTGAGTTCTGAAAGAATTCCCTTTAAAGAGACAAAGACATTCCACCACCTGGAAATTCCCCTTCAAGTTGCACACCATGCTAACCTGAAACTATGTTGGCATTCCATCATTGTTCAAATCTCAAGAACTCCCTTCCTAACAGCACTGTGGGTGTCCATACATACCATGGCCTGCAGTGATTCGAGAAAGCTGCTCACCACCAGCTTTTCCAGGGCAATTAGGGATAGACAATAAGTGTTGACCTAGCTGGAACCACCCACATTCCATGCACAAAGAAAATACAATAAATTAAACTGGATTTTGAGTATAATCCTTATCACATGCATTTGTTTGAATATCCAATTTATTTTTAAGTTGGATTTCAAGGTCATACATAATTTTAAAGCAGTTATAACTTGGCAGTTCCATCTTCAGCTATCATATACTGTGATGATCAGGACGCCAATTGGGGTTGCGAGCTAAAATTTTGGAGTCATGAAATCTGAGGCCGTAATGGCTGCATTGGTGTTCAGGCCAAGTTACAAGAGTCGTGTTCCTGCTCTAACAATTCACATTTAGGGTCTCAACAGCTTTCAAGCCTCAAAGTACATTCACAGTGGGAAAATGTTTGGGAAGTGCTACTGTAAGATATCTTAGTTAATATTATAATATAATCTGCAACTGATTCCTATGCTAAATATTCATAAATAAGTACTAAAAGGTTGTAGTTTCATACGTAAACCTTCACAAACCCACAAAACATGTAACAATACTGAGAATTCTTCAGTTAGGTCTCTGCATGCTGATATTGGTTCACTGAGAAAAGTCATTAATATAAGAGATGTATTCTATCCTGAGATAATTTAGTTTGCCTGGAAACTCCTGGTGGGAGGACATTTCATTGAAGGAACCATTCTACAGCTAGTAAAGCAGCCTAAATTCCTTCAGAAATTGAAATTCCTCTTGGTTGAGACTTCCAGCTAACAATAAATTTGGTGAGATAATTTTACCTTGGGGTAAAGAT